CTGGCCCCCCAACCAATGGCAAGGGCACCCCAATCCATATCTGGGGCACCTCATTAGTGGCCAGGGAACCCTGTTAATGGCCAAGATGCTCCAATCAACAGCTAGGACACCCCAGCTGCTGGCTGGAGAACCTCAAACCATAGCTTGGAGAACCTCAACCCATGGCTTGGGGCACCCCATTGATGACCAGAGGCACCCTAAGTGATGGTCCAGGCCACCCACCGGCCTCTCCATCCCCCAACTCACGTAGATCTCGTCGAACTTGCCGAAATCCATGGTCTTGAAGCGGTCGATGGGGGGGCGGATGTACTCGCAGTACGAGCTGGACTTCACCACCTCCAGCTGCCGCACGCACGACACGTAGGCCAGGCGGGACTGGATCTCCGCCATGTCGGGCACCTGCGAGGACGAGGGGCTCACCACCCTGCCCGTACCATCCCACCAGCATCCTCGCGTCCCACCGGGTCTTCACCTTGACTTTTTCAGCCCAGGGGTTGAGACGTTTCCAGAGAAGCCACCAGCCAGACAAGCTGTCCCCGTAGTTGCACAGGTCCGTCTCGTCCTGGCTGCCCACGTCGATGGCGATAACCGTCTTGGCACCCATGTTGCGGGCGATGTCGGCTGCAGGGTGGGAAAGGATGAAGGTGGGTCAGCAGCGTCGTGGTTTCCTCCACTCTGAGCCCGTGGTGAGAAGTGGTGGCAAGAGCAGAGCAGGTAAAGAGGGGGGTGAGGGTTGTCCCCAAGTCTGGGCTGGATGGCAAAGCCATGCTGGGCTTCGTGGTGGGACAAGCAGTGTCCCACGGGTGTCGGAGTTGGGGGTAGGAGCTCAGCAGTGACGCAGCCTGGGGCGACAGGAGGGCACAGGCCAGCGGCAGCATCTGTGGTGGGATGAGAAGGGAGCGTGGAGACGCCCCAGGAGGACATCTGGTGGCGAGGACGCCAGGAGATGATGAGAGGTCGATGGAGATGGCTTGCACACGGAGGAAGGTGGAGGTGCTCCAGGAGGGAACCTGGTGCTGAGGACATCAAGAGATGATGATGAGACACTGAGGAAGGCAGTTTGCATGCGAAGGAGGATGGAGACGCTCCAGGAGGTGATGAGGACTCCAAACATGATGCAAGATGGAAGGAGGTGGATTGGATATGAAGGGAGACGAAGATGCTGCAGGAGGGCACCTGGGACTGATGACATCAAGAGATGATGACGTAGGATGGAGGAAGGTGGTTTCGAAATGAAGGAGCACAAAGATGCCGCAGGAGACCACTCGGTCCCGAAGACACCGAAACTGAGGTGAGGGATGGAGGAAGGTCGCTTGCATGTGAAGAAGAACGGAGATGCCCTGGGAGGGCACCCGGTGCCAAGGACATCAGAAGACGACACGGAATGAAGGGAGGGACCTGGCCTCAAGGACACCAAGAGATGGTTTGGGATGGCAGGAGGTGGCTCGCACATCAATGAGGATGGAGACGCCCCAGGAAGTGACTCGGTGCTGAGGGCATGAGGAGAAGTCAAGGCAGGATGGACAAAGGTGGCTTGCACATGAAGGTGTCCCAGAAAGGCACCCAAGGGCCACCAAGAGATGGTATGAGACAGGTGGAGGTGTCTTGCAGGTGAAAGAGGACACAGAGGCCCAAGGAGGGCACCTGGAGCTGAGAACATCAAGGGAGGACGATGCAAGATGGACGGAGGTGGCTCACACATGATGAAGCGTGAAGATGTCCCAGGAAGACACTCAAAGATGGGGACATCAAAAGATGGTGCAGGATGGAGAGAGATGACCTGTGCCTGCAGGAGCACAGAGATGCCCTGGACACCAGGAGAGGAGGATGCCGGATGGAGGAAGGTGGTTGGCACCTACGGAGCATGGAGATGCCCTAGGAAGGTGCTACGAATACCACGAGATGATGTGAGATGGAGGGACACTTCTTGCACAGGACGAAGGATGATCTGCGAAGCCGCCTGGTGCTGACGCCATCAAGACGTTGCCGCCAGACCGTGTGACTTTTTTGGCACATGAAGGAAGACGAAGGTGCCCAGAGAGGACTTTCAACACCAAAGAGACCAAGAGATGACACGAGATGAAGGGACGTATCTTGCGCGTGGAGACACCCTGGGAAGCCACCTGGTGCTGAGAACACCGCGAGATGCGCGATGGACCGACCCTTTTCTCGGCACGCGAAGGCACCCGAAGACGCCGTAAGAGGACGCCCACCACCGAAGACCACCAAACCAAGCGAGCCGTTCCTAGATCCAACCTCAACACCTCCGGCCATTGAGAACCCACCTCATGGTGGCCACCTCAGCCCCCAACCCAACCGCCCGCCACCGCCCTTGGGGGGAAGCCAGACCTGGCGCTGCCCCGGTTGGGCATTGATGGTTGGGCATTGATGGTTGGGCATTGACGGTTGGGCATTGACGGTTGGGCGTTGACGGTTGGGCGTTGACGGTTGGGCGTTGACGGTTGGGTGTTGACGGTTGGGCGTTGATGGTTGGGCGTTGAAGGTGGGCATTGATGGTTGGGTGTTGACGGTTGGGCGTTGACGGTTGGGCGTTGACAATTGGG